CCCCATGGATTTCAGTAGGCCTCCTCCAAGCATGGTTAGCTCTGAAGGCACCCTTCTTTATGGGATACTTCAGAACCTGAAAGAATCGGGCAGCCCTTTTGCTTCAGTAGAGCTTCGTCTGTGTGCCAGAACAGCACAGAGATTAGTCTCACAGCTGTGGCCTTTCCCTCATGGTATTTATTAGCAAACATTACAAATCCACTTCCCAAATTTTGAGATGCACGCTGTTGGTTGTATGGCACAAGGACAGACCTGTGATTCTTCTCGTAAAACGATGGTCTACATCTGCAAATATTAATACAGAGAGGGTAAGACTTCTATAGTGGGCAGTTTCTTGGCAGACATAATGCTGACATCACAAATAAAGGAAATGCAGATGTAAGTTTTTTATTATATGCTGTTCTTTTTGTTCCCTCTTCAGTTATATTTGTAGTGCCTGGCTTTGTGTTTCTGAGGGGATGAAATCTGCATCAGGTTTGCACAGGTCAGTACATTGCGGTACATTCTTCAAAGTCTGCTGAGGGCTAGAAAGATTTAAAACCTGTACAGTAAACATTTCAGTTTTTATGGCTTGCTCTGGGATTGCATGGAGAATATTTATAACCATTTCCTTTGTGGTTGTCTGGCAAACAATTTCAGAGAAGGCAAATTTTCATTCAGTAGATATATATGTTTTATGTTCTCTGTCCAGGGAACTTGGCAGAGCCATTCAGATGGAAGCAATAAGCCCTACCAGTCGTGTCCTGGACGAGCATGCGAAAAGGAAAAAAGCAGTGAGTTCAAATAACCTTGCTTTTCTGATCATCTAATGCAGGATTCTTCAGTTGGGTGTTGGACTAGAACTCCCATCATCCTCAGGTAGCATGGCTGGGATAGGAGTTTGGAGAAGGGTGATTAAATGCAATATTTTGATAGCATTTGTGCATACTTTGGATCATACAGCAAATTTGACTCTTGAAGATTTTCCCTCTTTCTCAAGGGAAAAAAAATCTGCATTTGAGCCCCATATGCTCTCCAACTCTGAACAGTTTGAAAAGGTAAAAGCATATGAACAAAAGATGCTCTTTGCTACAGCCAGCCCTAGATAGCAGAACATCCTTGAAAACACAGGTATGATCCTCAGTGTGAGGGATACTCAAGAGCTGTGCTCGGTCATCACTTATGCCTGGGAATATAGAAGAATATAATTTCTGCTCACAGAGCATGTGAATGTGTCCTGTTCATAATCTTGAGCAGGATGGAACACCTTTTTTGTAATGTTGCAGATTCTTAAAATTATGATTGCAATATTTTTAAAATATATTTTTTCATACTTTAGTTACTGCGGAAAGAGGGCACACTTTGACAAAGCATGCACAGAAATGCACACTTCTCCCATTCAAGCAAGCCAACCCCCGCTCCCCACAAAAAAAACCTCAGGTGGAAAACAAAAATGAGCTGAGCTATGCTTTGAAGTAATTGCCAGAAAATGTAGGGGACTTGAAAATCACTCGTTCTCTCATGCCAGCTTATGTTTTCATCACATGAGATGCTTTCAAATTGCTTTCAGTTCTGGGCCTATTGCTTAGATTCAAGAAGGCCCTCTGTCAGGGACTTCCAAAGGAAAGTGTTTCACCTGTGCCACATCTGCTCAGGATATATGACCCTTACTAAAAAAAAAAAAAAAGGTAGTTGACTGGCTTCTGCTTTGAATTTTTTGTCAGTGAGATGGTCTTCTTGTTAGGAGGTTGGAGGTACATCCAACCCCAGAGAGCTGGGAATCCCACCAAAGCGGATTGTTTAGCAGTGCAGAGAACTGCAGAGGGAGGAAAGTGGAAAACTCCCATCATGCTAGTTGACTTCAAGCAAGCATCCATGGTTGGATTTAATCCAGTGTGTTTTTGGGGTAAACCTGCACTGATAGAAACACAACTGCCTAACATGTTATGGGGCAAAGAGTCTGAGGAAATCTGTGCTGCCCTGGAATTTTTTCATTATGGGTTATGGAATAAAGGACATGTGTTTAAAAGAAAAATGACAGCTTTCAATGAAACAACACATCTTCAATGCATTCCAGTATAATTTCAAAAGTGCCTTTCCTGTGAAAGACTGCTTTATTTTATTTTATTTTATTTTATTTTATTTTATTTATTTCTATATTTCCCATACACTCAAAACAACTTTCTGGGCAGTTCATAGAGACAAAATTTTGCTCTGTTGAAGTCAAGGGTGGCTTGCTGTTGATTCCATAGGAGCATGATTGTCACAGGAATCTATGAGGATCAGGCTTTGAAAGTGAACTAGGCTCTTATGAATTTGATGGTCTTGCATTTTTTTTAATCCCACTACATTTTTGGGAAACTTATATTTAAATCTTTAGATCCTGCCTTTCCTTGAAAATTCCAGCACTGCTAAGTTAATGTAGGCTGTCTACATAGAAACAATATGATTCATGTAGTACTGATCAGAGGTTTCTGTGACTACAGAACAAAACCTGACAATGGAATTATTTGCTTTACAAATGTGGTCGTGTTTCTCTTCCATAAGCTAGACAATGCTGTTGAGAAGGCAGCCGAAGCGGTTATCAGCAACTGGCGTCAACAGATAAAGGCAAGTTGCTATTCTTTGTTATCACAAAACTGCACAGACATCATCCACTCCAGCCTTCCCCTAGTATCTGGTACCCATTAGGTGTGTTGAGTTACAATTGCCTTCAGCCATGGCCATGCCATCATCTCCACTGTAGCCCAAAACATCTGGAGGATGCCGGATTGAGGAACACTGACCTTTTGAAAGTAAATTCTGCAAAGCCCCATTGATGGCATTTATAAGCAAGCCAGAAGTGCTTAACTAGAACTAGAAATGTCCCTTGATTTTGCAGAAAAGGTACTGGCTGGACTGTAATGCTATTTGTGTATGTATGGAGAGCCAGTGAGCAAGGCTGGGACTCAGGCAACCTGGGTTCTGGTCTCCACTCTGCCATGAACTCTCATCCCAACCTACTTCATAGGGCTGTTGTTGGGAGGAGAATACTGAGAGAAGAATTAAATGAGCCACTTTGGGTTCACTGAAAGCCAAAAGGGAGGTGGGGTGTGTGTGATAATATAAAATAAAATAAAATAAAATAAATGAAGTGAAGTGAAGTGAAGTAAAATAACTAAATAAAATGGATATAGAGAGCTATTGAGTTTAAATACAAATCTGGCTTTTACCCTCATATGGTAGGAAGAGGCAGTTCTATACCTCTTCATATCAAAGGAATAGGATGTTATACATTGTGGAAGGCAGGCACTTGTGTAGCCAACATCATCCAAAATTTGGGTGAGTGTCTTGGAAGCATTTGTGTCAGTCTATAGCAGCCTTCTTGAAACTTCCTCTCAGATGCGTTAGATGAGAACTCCCAGCATCCCCAACTGTTGACCATGCTGGTTGGAACTGATGGGAGTGGAAATCTGAAACATGTGGTGCACAGCAGGCTGGGGGAGGGCCGATCTACAGGCTGGAGCACGGGCAGCTGCCTTTACCAGGACCGCCTGTGCAGCACCTGCCACACACCCGTCAGCATTTCCTGCACAGGCGTTCCAGATTTCCAGGCAAGGAACTTTCCCAGCCCTACCTGGGACTTCTGTCCATTTTCCTATTGGGCTAACAAGGCTATTTACATTTGCTTTCTGGCACAAGGCTGCTCCCTAAGGTCCTGTAAACTGAAAAGGTATTAGCTTTTACCTGGTATTTAGCTGGCATGGGGATCTATGCATTTCATTTCCAACTTAGCTGGTCCCTGAGGTTATTCTGCAATTACTATTTAGGGATTTTAATATATTAAGCAGTAAAAATATTTTAGTAAATAAATACCATTACAACAATACAAATCTATAGAAATGGGGTTTTTCATAATTATTGACTGCACAAGCTCAGCCTTTGCTGAGTTTCTGTAACTTCTTTACTCTGTCTGAATGTCCGTGGAACTCCTTATTGAGATGTTTGTAGAATTTGTAAGCACAAGGGTTACTGCATGTATTCAAGAGTGACTAATAATTTGGGATGCACAGTAATATTTTTTAAAATCCTACACTTTATGTAGCATGCACTTCACTCATTATTCAGAAATACTGAGTTATTTCCCACTCTCAGTGCAGTGACTGTCAAAATCATCCTGACCTTCTTCATTAACAAAAGATGAGCTTGGACAGGGAAAATAATCAAGACATCAACTAATAAATTGTCTGAGAGATCACACCTGTAGCTCACCATGAGAATATTGCCTGCTTCCCCCACAAAAACACATTCCTGTTGATTTCTCTATGTTTGATGATAGGCGAAGAAGAAATTAAAGGAGCTTACTAAAGATCATGAAGCCCTTTTCCGTGAGACAGAAAGCTCCCAACTCTTGACTTCCCCCAAGACCAAAAAGAAGGTAAGTATTCAGATAGGTGTGTGCCTTGAGAGGAGTAAGGTTTGACCCAGAGTGAGCAACATGGGACGCATGGGTGAGCACTAGTGGGCCCTTGGAAATGTTCCTGGCAGCCACTAAGGTGTCCATCCCCTCCCAATTTTAATCTCTTTAGAAACCTTCACAGGCATTCTTATCAAGTTGGGCTCACCTTCAGCCAAAGCAAGAGCCTCCAATGGCAGCTGCAGCCATGTGCTGCTTGGGTGTGCATGCATGGAGACCCAAGGTGTGAGTTGGCTGGCAGAGTGGGAGGGGAGAGAGGAAATGCATTTGCCCTCTGTGGAGCAGGCTTTTGTTGGAGCCACTTTGTGTGCTGGAGCTCAGAATCTGCCTCTGCCTTCTGCTCAGGCTTTTGGGCAAGTCACTTGTCCTTGGTAAGTAGCCACACCAACCATGGCAGCCACCTTGTCGTGACACTCAGAAGAGTTTCTCAAATGGACAGGTGTGCCCAGAGGCACAAAGACGTTGGCCCTCACCTTCTTGTGGACAGGATGTGGAAGAGTCTTTGGCTCCCCAGGCCAGGAATTCCAGCACCCCTAGGCCAGCAGCATTAAGATCTGGGGTGAATACAATCCTCTGCAGTGAGGGTGGGGAACCTTTTTGTAACCGTCATGGGCAACTGCTCCTGGGATGTAGCCTGTCAGGGCTAGATGCTAGGGGCATGTGGCTCTGAAGCCAAGAACTTTAGGAACAGCCCTGACTTCTGCCCCCACCACTATCCCCCCCCGCCCCCGCCAGTGGGCTGCTGGGTTAAGCACAGATGGCTCTTGTCAGAAAAGCTCTTGAAGTTGGACTGAGGGCCGCATGCAGACTGAGGGCCCCAGATTGCTTTAGAAGAGCACCAAATGAAGCACGGAGGAGAAGTCTGTCCATGTCTCCTGACCATGATAACTATGTCCAGCCTTCAGGCTGAGAGGCAGTGGCTCCACTGTGTACCTTCTGCTGAGAGTGAGGCCTGGTTAAGGCCTGTACTGGTTGTGGGCTTCTCTGGGACATCTGTTTGCTCACTGTGGGGAAGCGGGTTGCTGGACTGGGAGGATCTTTAGTCTTATCCAGAAAGGTTCTCCTTGCGTTAATCCCGTGACCTCTGACCTGATACCCAGGAGTACTGGTGCCCGTGCCCCCACAGATACCTTCCTTGGTGCCTGCTAGAGCCTCCTGCCCCTCCCTATTTTTTATTTTAAAAGGTGGGCGGATGGGCAACAGGGAAATAAAGCCACCTGCCTTCTTCATTTCCCTTTCCCAGAATGCTTCTGGGTCCAGAACCTGTAAAATGAGTGTTTTGTGACTGACTACACCCATGGCAGCCATTTTGTGAATGGCCAATCCCTCATGGAACAGCCATTTTGTGATAGCACCTATTGCATTTTTTCAAATTCTTAATGGTCTCACAGACCAAATCAACACAGTAAAGGACCACTGTGTTGATCTCATAAAATGAGAGGCATCAAACTGCTAAGTATTTGGGAGTGGTGGGGAGAGTCCTTCAGCCTTGTACAGCATGCAGTGGTGATCTTCCTCTTCCACACACAACATTGTGTCTGTTGCCATGGCACCAATTGTCAGCTATCCAGAGGTTGACCTGCCCTCTCTAACCGGCTATAGGAGGACAAACTCTCTAGTGAAGTTAGTTACCTCCCCTGGGGAAAGAAAACAACAAACAAACACCCAGTCCTGAATTTATGTGTGTATTTTAGTTGCTCAGAAACCTGGAAAAATCTGCAACAAAACTGGCAAAGGATGATGAAGATTATTATAAGAAGAATTTAGCTGCCCGTGAAACAAGGTTAAAATGGGAAACCACTTTAGAAAACTGCCACCAGGCAAGTCCTTTGGGGTTCTTTTCTTATGATGCAGCAGGATGTGGCCTTATAGAACTTTCTCCAGCATATAAACAGGCCACATTCTGCTTTTCTCTCCATGTTTTATTTGATTTTCAATTCAAGGATGATGAGGTACCTCCTGATTTACAACTCTGTGCTCAAGATGAAAACTCAAGGCCTGAAAAAGCGCTCCAAAATAATAAAAATACCCCACTATTTTGTTTAAAGTATGAACATTCGAGGGAAGGGCCATGGCTTAGTATGGAAGCACATGCTATTCACTGGGGGCCAGTGGTGGGGCATCTGCCTTTGCCCCTTCTCACCACCAATACAGTTCTCTGTGCCAGGGCAGGAGGCGTGTGACCAAGCAGCCTGCCATGGTGGGAAGGAGGGGCAGGTCTCAAGGGCTCATGTCTGCAGGCCACTGGTGGCCTGTGAGCCCTCGGCAGTGCCCAACTCTGCCTACTTAGACACAGACCCTGAGTTCAGCTAGAAGATGGTAAAACTAGTGCCACTGCTGGTTTGAGTAGAAAAACCCCTCCTGAAGCCAACTCAACTTCCCCTGTTTATTCTGCATGGACACAGAGGACAAGTCACCCTTCCCACAACATGTGCCAGAAGTCTTACACACTCATTTCATAATGGAGTCTCTTCTCGTGACACCATCGAGGCCCTTCTCCCAGCCTTGAAATAGCACTGTAGTCCTAGTCAGGAGCTCTCTGGGCTTTCAGACCTTGCCAAACAGGCAGTGGAGGCTTTTGTGGTTCTGGCTCTTTGCAAGGGAGCCACGCAGGCCCACGTGGCTCAAGAACGGACACGGCCACCTCTTCTCCAACATTTGCATCTCAATGCATCAGCATTTGCATTTGCAGGAGTCTCAGTGGTAGGCTCAGGGCCTGTTGCAACCACTGGATTCTTCTGGGAAGCTCCATGGAGAGGGATAAGAATGGTGGAGGAGGGCTAAGAAATTCTCTTTCCCTGATCTGCCCAGCTGATCACCCACCAGGGATGATGGCTATGCCCCCACTTTTCCTCTGCAGAGTTGGCTTTAGCACTCTTCCAGATAGCCTTTGTCACTCTGTTGATCATCTTCCCCACCTCAAGGACCACTACATGATGGGTTTTGTCACACTTTCTAAAACCATCCTGTGTGCCTCCTACTCACTCATCCTTGTTACCTAATGCATCCTCACATCACTCTTCTCATTTGTACTTTGGTTCTCAAGGCATGCTTTACACTCAGTTCTAATTTATTTCATTTATTCACAAATTCACAAAACTCTACGATAAGTCCTTTTGTGCCTTATCACAACCCAATGTTTAAACTACAGCAAATGGGCACTTCCAAATCCTTCGCTGTGTCAAAAGGGCCAGTGTGAGAACTGTCACATTTATTTGTGCAGTGATCATCCATTAGAGGCAGCTATTCAGTGGATGCAGACATGATAATGGGCAATTTATTACTTTCCTTGCCTTCCATGCAGGAAGCCGAATTGGTGTGAAAGTTCCACAGAGGATGACAGCAGTGTTAATGTTCTCATGATTTCTTTAGATTTAATAGCTCGTTCTAGCCTCCAGAAGAGCCTTCCCTATCTGGTGTCATCCAGAATTTTTGAACTGTAACTCCCATCATGCTGGATGACAGGGACTGATGATGGTTGTAGTCCAAAGCTGGAAGGTACCAGGCTAGGGAAAGCTGTGCAGCATTCATTGTTCCTTGTCCTTTCCCAATACTTTCTCTGTGAAGGTTGTGTAATGAAAGATAAAATGCTGGTTTGAACTAATCTCTGCTGGTGGACATCTATTGCAATAAAAACAACAAAATCATCTTGCAATGCCTTAAAAACTGACAAAGGTAATTTGGCATAAACATTGATGGGTCATGAGTGTTTCTACACAAGGCATGAGACATTTATCATGCCTACCCACAGATGTTCATGGGTTCTCTAGTAACCCTCCAGCTTCACTTCTGGCTTTAAGCAGCATTTTCCAGGAATTATTTTAGGGAGGAGAAAATGCAGCATTTCATAGTGAAAATGCTTTTTTCACTTGTGTGTTTGTGCTATTGTGCCATTCCACAGTGCCACCTAGAGGCTGTGTGGAAGGAAAGGAAGCACTCCTGTACTGCTCTGGTCTGAATTGTGTGGCAAAACTAAAAGTAGATACGGCTGGTTTAGAGCTGGTCAACAGCCTTGGTCTATATCCACAAAACTTTTCATTGTTATAAAAATAAGTAAATTGGTTAAAAGTGCTTTTAAGAAGTACCAATAAATTGCCCATAAATTTCCTGCTCAATCATTTTTTTTGAGGCAGAAGTGTAATTAAATGTTGTTACGCATCACTACCTCCACTGAGAACAACTATATTTTTAATTACATGCTTAAATTTACTCCAAGCCTTTCAGCAATCTTCAGTTAAAAGGAACACCTACGTAAAAGAAATGAAGAGAACAATCCACCCAGGGTTAGACACGCCATTCTGATTGGTTTCAAGGGGAGAGAGATAATTGTGTGCTTAATGTGCCTGTCTCAGATGGTTTCAGTCCAGCCTTTTCAATTCATGGGACCTCTTGATTCCTGTGCCATGAGTGGGCTGCTTCCATTTATAGGTCTTTAACACTTCAAAGTGGAGGATAGAAACTGCACAGTGACCTTTTGAGATCAGCCAACACTCCATAAATAGCATTTGTGCACCTGGATGCTGTCCATACCCCAGCCCCCCAAAATCCTAAGTTGATCATCAGGGTGGATGACCTGTGCCTCCAGGACTCAGGGCCCACCGCTGCCCCCAGTCAGCCATTTCTGCAGCTCCCACTGTGTTACCTACCATTGCAGCCACCAAAATTGTGGCACATTTGCAAGAGACAAAGTGCATGGGAGCATGTGCCTTGTCTCCAGGTAGAATCAGGACCCTAGAAATATGAGTCCCCTTGGAAAGAAGGCCCCTGCTCCCCACATACCTTGTTTTCCTGGGAAATTGCTATCATGTTGGCCCCTACTACTGCCACTAGAAATTCAGCAGCAGCACAGATGGGGTGTGGTTTCCAGGGGGCAGTGTGCCCCCCTGAATTGGACATCCCCAATAACACATGATCCATTCTGAGGTCCATGTGGGAAATAATTAATGTGAAGAGATCTTTACTTCTTTGCATCAAGCATCCTTGATTATTTGGCTTTCGAAAGACAAATCAATAGTCTTCGTACCATAGAACAGAGGGACATTTTTCTTTGTAAGCTGAGAAATGCTTGTGGCTGAAGTGTAAACGGGGGGGGGGGGGGCCCATATTGCACTGACTGGAAAGGACTAAGGATGAGTTGTTTTGTCAACCCCAGAAAGCCTTATGAAATGACTCATGGGATAGGGGTGAACCTCCCCCAGAAACTAGTTCTAGAAATATTGGTTGGACATGGCAAGGAAGCAGATTTATGCTAAATTTGAGCACAAGGGGGATGAACCCTCTTTCCGAAATTCCAATGTGGGGGCCAAAGGCCAATGGTGGGTAGGGCTGAAAGCAAAGGGGATGTGGCCAACCTTCCAGAGCTTACCAATGATTTTTAGTGCATACTAATTGCTTTCTCTCACTTAAATAGGGTTTTCTAGAACTTGAAAAGGAAAGACTGCATCTTCTGTGCAACACGTTGAATTGTTACAACCGGCATCTCTCCAATTATGGACAGAGCCTAATTGCTGTAGGTGCATGTCTTTCAGTTCCCCTCAGACATGACTAGGAGCTCTTCCTGTATCTAATCTTGTGTATTCTTGCCCTAGTGCCACACGGAGATTCAAACTGCTGTTGCCAAAGCTGATGCTGATAAGGACGCACAGACACTGGTGGAAGAAATGTCCATGCCTGGCCCAGAGACCAAGCGGGAGTTCTTGCTAACAGATTATTATGTAAGCATGTTGTGAAAGACTCCGCCAGGATGAGTGGTAGTAGAGCCTGCATACTTCAGGAATTGCTGGAGGTGTCATACCTTAATGCATTCCATGGACACTTTCTGCGTGTCCCACCATCAAGAGAGGCTAAGTTGGAGGAAGCTGGGCCATCCTTCTCTCACATAGCGCCCTCTTGTGGAAGTTCAGTCAGGAATGTTGGGAGCTGTAAGACTTTCTTCTTTCTAAACAGATGAAGGATTGTGCCCTTAACTGTATTTTAAAGCTTTGAATTACTGTTAATGTTTTCCCATTTTTAAAAGTTTTTGCATTTTAAAAGGTTTTTAAATTGCTGCATTTTAACTGTATATGGCCCTATTTGAGCTGAAAGATGACCCAGATGTGTACATGAGAGAAACCATGCTATGCAGTGCAGAACTCTGAATGAAAGGCAGGTGATCTCAGCAAGGACAAAGTGCAGTGCTCCGTTTTTCCGCCCAAGGGTAAACCACAACTATCCGCTTATGCCAGGGGTCCTCAAACTTTTTGAATAGGGGCCGGTTGAAAGGTGCCAGGGATGGGCGTGGGCCACCAAGGCAGTGCAGGCAGGGGGCACGGGCCAGTCCAGGGGAGGGGGGCATGCGTGCACAGAGATCCTTTTCTCCCAGTGAGTCCAAAACAATCTCCTTGGGAGCAAGCCAGTGCCTTGGGGCCGGCTTGCTCCCAAGGAGATAATTTTGGATTCGCTCTGAGAAAAGGATCTTCTGGCAAGGTGCCAGCTTGCTCAAAAGGAGATCCTTTTCTCCAAGAGAGTCCAAAATGATCTCCTTGAGAGAAAGCTGGCACCTCGCGAGCAAACCAGCATGCGTGGTGAGCTATGGAGGGCCAGGTCCATGGGCATGGCGGGCCGGATCCAGCCCACAGGCCGTAGTTTGAGGACCCATGGCTTATGCAATAGATACAGCCTCAGTGGATTTATTCGTATCAGAATTAAATGCTCTCTGACTGGTTGACCCTTGCAATGAGAATCAAATTTGCTGCTTCCTGCATCCCTCTGTCCTGTTCTGTCCCTTTGACTTGATTGCTATGCAGGCCATGGGTAAAAGCCTTCCATGTGGAAGCATTCATGCACAAGATTCCCTTTGTACGCAGTTACCATGTGCACTGACCCATTTGGGTGCAACATTTGCTGTCGCTGGGCCAGGTGGGTTGGTGGTTGGCTGGCGGATGTTACATGTAAAGGGACCTGTACGCATGGCAAGTACAGTTAACTGTGAAGGTGCGCACACAGAACACTTATATGCCTAGGGCAGGAGTGTGCAACTGGTAGCCCTCTGAACGGGAGGAGGTTCCCATGATCCCTCACCACTGGCTATGCTATGCTGGCAAGGGCTGATGGGTGTTATAGTCCAAAATATATGGAGGGCCACAAGTTATTCCTCCCTGGCATAGAGCATTGCCTGTCTGGCTCACAACCCGTACAAATCAGGCCAGAGACTTATGAGAATGTGCTGACAGACAGAATCTTGAGATAAAAGAACCTTGAGAGTTGTCTTCTGTATTCATCGACAAATGCTATGAGATTACACAAGATTTGAGTGCTGTTGTTATTTCACGTTCTTTGCTTTTGTTCTCACTAGCTAGAAAAAATATTGCAATAAAGTTTAAATTCATATTGAAGAATGGAAGTTGAAGAGTAGTCTCAAAATGTAAAGCATTTTAATCAATAATTTGGCCACAGAGTAGATCCAAAAAAGAGCTTCCAGTATTTCAAATCCAGTGCACTATTTGCTCCACTAAGGATTGGTGAAAAAATACTGATTGCACATACGGAATTCCTAGATGACAAGCCTGTTTCTTACCATCCCTGGGCTATCTGGGATTGGGTACTGAGAGTCTTACTGATTTTGAATAAATGTCTTTCATGAATCTTTAGCCTCCTATTGTCAGACAAACTCTGTCCCTGTGAATCTGCATCTTCTAAAAGCTGTATTTGCATAACAAGCCTCTGCTAATAAAGCTTGGTGATTCTCTAAGGAAGTCTGAATATTGTTAACTGTAGTAACCCTAACCCTCATATCAAACTGTTTCATATTGATAATAGTAATTTAACATAATGCAATATCGGGTAAATAACTATGTTTGTGCTTTATTCTAGCTGCATGACTTAGGGTCTAGAGACTGAAATCAGCAAATGTAGGCCACAGAATAAATTTATGAGCCTAAAGGTGCAACCTTATGCATGGTTAGACTGAAAAATGACCCACAGCTCCCAGCTTGCCCCAGTCAGCCTGGCCAGTGGATCAGGAATGGGGCTGGGGCTGGTCAATGGGTGCCTGAGGATGATGGGAGTTGCAGCCTACCTCCAGAGGATATGCGTATGGGTAAAGCTGGCCTGACTAATATCAGGCTGTCCCGTTGATGCCAGTTCAGAGGCATCAAGGGAGCAAACAATCCCTGTAGGAACATGGACTGCTGCTGGACCACTTTATAGGAGAAGCCCTGATCGCTACTTCAGAGCAGCCCTCCCTGAAAAATAGCCATCAAGCCAGGGCCTTGGGGGCAATGTGCAGGTGACCTTATGGCCTGCGATCCCAACCACCTTCCCTGTGGATGGCAAAAACCCCATGCATCCACCTCTGCTGTCCGCACTAGCTCATTGCCTGGAAGGCTCCCCCTGCTTTTTGAATTCCTGCAGAAAACCTCAATGGGGCTTCAAGCGTCACCACTGGCTCTTTCCCTTTTGTGCTAAGGGCAGGACTTGATTTGTGGAGGGAGTGCCGGGGCCATCAGGACTTGAGTGTTCCTTGTCTCAGGCACACACTTTTAACAAAGCTCCTTTTCTGATGTGGGGCATTGTTTTCTTTTCCCAATAAATCACATGCCTGTTTCCATCCTATGCAAGGAGGAAGACTCCACAAGCCTGATTGAAAAGGAGAGGAGACAAGCTTCCATCAAGGCCAAAGTGCTCCGCCTGCAAAAGGACCTAGAGAAGGCACTGCAGGACAAAACAGGTGAGCTTGCATGACAGCAGTACTAAGACCAGCATCTTCTAGCCAGCCTTGCTGTCTGAAGAGTTGTAGTCTTTTTGGTCTCTATCCATGCAAAGGATCGTCCCTTAAGTGTTTTAAATAAGTGCTTCCAGATGATACAGAGTCTATAGATTGATGGTTTAACATGGTGTATGGCAGCTGCCCCTCACCTGATCCTCTCCAGGAATGCTGGACTACAACTCCTATGATGGGTGGGGATTGTAGGCACCAGGTTGAGGAAGGGTTGGAATGCAGTACATGAATGTTCGTATAAATAAATATCCTGGGATTTCTTTAAATGGGACAGTATCTCACTAGAGTTAATATCCAGAGATACTTAAAACTACACAAAGAATTAGTAAACATTGTATGTGAGAACCCCACTGTGCAGATTAAGCCGTATTTTTAAAATGCTTCTGCAATGGTTGTGTCTTATTTTTTTCTTTTTAAGCCTTGGAACAGATGCTTAAAGCTTATACAAAGACTCCTCAGTTCTCAGATGCAAAGAATCAGAATGATATCACTGCACAGCTTGAAGAGGTAAAGTTAATATTTGCACTACCTTTATGATGCCTATCTGATTTTGTTTTCTTTAGTTGAAATCCAATTTTAATTAAAATCAATGTAAATTGATATGCCCGGGTCTCCTATAGCCAGTAGCAGATTCACTGAGCAAGTTTGAAAACTTGCCAAATTAGTTCTGTTGGTTCTATTTGAATCTGGATTTCAGGCCCAGAGACAGAGAGAAAACAAGCATCTCAGCACTGGGAGCCTGCTTGTATGTTGCAGGCCTGCCCCTGAGATACACAGGTGAAATCATTGTGCAGCAAAATACTGCTTTACTCATGAGCATTTTTAAAAATTTGTATTACTAAAGACAACTCTGAAAGTGACCCTTCTGCAAGCCAATTACTTCAAGCTGGCCAGCGTGCTAGCAGAAGTTGAACAGAAGCCTAACCCGACACAACCCTGGAATGACTGCATTTCGAAATGGAAAGAAAAGGTAACATTAAAGGTTGTGATGCTGAAGTCTAATGAACCTGGAGTGATGATCCGATCATTCTTGCTGAGGCTGGGGAGGAAGCTCTGGCCTTGGAGGTGAAATCCAGTCTAAAATCGATCCAGTTGCTGAAAGACTTGCAGCTCTTAGGGGCAACCAGTCTCTCAAAGGGCACAGTAAACAGACAGACAAAATCATGCATGCTGGAGTTGCTGGGAGGTTTTGGTGCCAGTTTTCAGATTGTTTGCATCAGTTGTGGACAAATAACTACTCTCCTTGTTAGCTGCCCTTGATGAAAAGGATCTGCAAACTAGCTTCCCCTTTACAAATCATCCCAGGTGTCCTATTAGCAGATACCATTCTAGTACTGTAAGATAAAATGCAAAGCTTAGAAAGCAATGGTGAATTACCCAATATTTATCAACATAATATGTAAAGAATGTCTTTTGATGTTTTCAAAAGTCTTTGAGAATGGTTTCCTTTTCTCCAAAATGGATAGGACTGCGTGCATTATTCTGTGATAACCACTTGCCCAGTTAAAATGAAACACTTGAAGCGAACACTGAGTACCCAGGTGGCCAGTGAAGTAGGAAGCCACGCAAGCCACTTGCCAGGTAACAGTGCAATTCAATTCACAAATACTCCACGTCTTGGTCATCTTGTGTCTCCTTGAGTTTTTCTACACAAGCCTGTCTGTCACTGTATCTGCTTTCAGTTTTGTCACAGAAGTCAGATCCAAGCTCTACTCAAACAGCTTTTACTTTCCTGGTTGTCCAGTAGCTAACCTCTAAGTAGTCCTGTCACATAATAGTATTATCATCCTTACACAAGTGGGAGAAGAGTTCTTTTACTTTCAGACATAGTACAAATTTTCCCCATTCAAAGCGGGGGCGGGGGGAGTACTCAAAAAAACCAGAAGAGAAACTGGAGTAACGAACCTGTGAGTGAGGAATCATGAAGGGGCAGAATACCTTCTGACAAGGTCCCAGTAGAAAATGGAGTACCTAATTAACTGTTTTGAGTTGGTAAGAGGTCTCATAATTTAGGGCTGAGCGTGCTTGCTGACATCCCAGATCTGACCCTGTCCCTCTTTAATTCTCCCCTCCGTTAACCCTCCCTTCACTGCACGTGCACCAGTGCCCCAGCCAGGATGCTTAGTGGCTCTTCATTATAAGCATCACACCACGGTTCTTACTGCCTGATGTAAACAGTGTCACTTTTTTTGTACTTTACAGCAATAGTGAACCATCCAAAGTCAGCAGCTTCTTTGTCTGCAGCCAATGGGGATTCAGAGTATGGAGCCTGCAGAGCTTTGTATGATTACCACACAGAAAGGGAAGATGAGCTTCATTTGAGGAAAGGTAACTGTTCCCCTCCCTTAACATGTCTTGACAGAAGTACTGGCTTGAAATAGAGGGAGGGGTTAAAACCCAGTCTCCCTAGGATCTCATCACAATTAAAAGAAGTTTTAAAATGTGTAACCAAAAGAGCTAAGCTTTTTCCACCATGTTTTCTAGGGCATAGGGCCCATTGAATGCAATGGAACCTACATCATTAAGGTCAGGTGATGTGTTCTGCTCTCAGCTGAACTGACTTCCTCAAGCAGAGGGTGTAATCCAGGGATAAGGGTCATGCTTGGCTGGGAATTAGTGGGATTGTAGCCTAACAGATCCAACCAACACCAGGTTGGGTAAAGCAGGGTCAATGTTTTAAGTATTTCAGTTGGGCCAACCTCACGGCCGCTAAACATGTCTGCCCCATTAAGCTAAAAATGTTTGTTTCAGAATTCTTATGTTCTGCCCATTTACCTGAGAAGTACTTTAAGAATGTAAAAAATAAAACTTATCTCCAGTCCTAAGGCAGGACAGACTTGTGAATTAAGTTCCTAGAAGCTTCTAATTTACATAAGGTTTTGTACACAAATAACTGTGGATTTGGAAAAAACATTTCAAAAAATTAATTTGTGTGATTCTCAAAGGAATAGTGTTTAAAAACCAGCTGTTTGGAATCAGAAAAAAATAAAGCTGTAAATTGGAGAAGTGATATTGATGCAATCACAAGTTATGGCCTATAGCTGCATGCAAATCCTTTATAGCTGATTCTTCACTGGTTGGATCCAAATTTAGTCATACTTGGTTGACTACTGAAATCAGTGGCTTAAAGCTAGCCATAACATCAGCTTCGTTCATTTCTGCAGGTCTTCTCTTAAGTACAGCTAAGTTGGAATCCATTTTGTTTCCTTTGAACGAACCGGGCATTAACTAAAAGAAACTATGCAGAGGGTTTCTAAAATCTACTGCTAGAGACAGTGAACTGATATTGGTGGGGAAAAGGCTGCGAGAAGCCAGCCTTGTGCATGACAGTAGTGCATCTCCAAGGGCCGAACCAGCAGTGAACGTCTGTATTAAGCAAGAGCTTGCTTGTTCAGCTATGAAGCAGGTTTAGGGATTATGGGAGGGTGAGTGAAACACCACCGCTCGCTGCTGTATACTGAATTAAGCTAGTTACCCCCAGCCTGGCTCCAGGGCTGGCTCATCTGCTTTGGTGCTAAGCAGACACTGAACTACATACAAGAGCCCAAGATGCACTCAGAAGCAGTTGCTCTGCTTTAGTCTCCAGCAGGGGAGGGGTTCTTTTGGAGGCCTATCCAGGCAGAGATTTCTCTTCTTGGTCAGAGGTCTGTGTTAAACTCAGAGCTAGGCTGTTAAGGTGCTGGTGTGCCTGGTCAAGGAAGCTGGTGTAACATAGTGTATATTGCCCTCTAGGTGATGTGATTGTAATTCACCGTAAGGAAGAGGACGGATGGTGGTATGGCTCCATAAATGAGAAAAGGGGTATTTTTCCAGCTACATATGTGGAAGAATTCATTCCCCCCACTGCCAAAAGCCTCACTGTGGAAGACGAAACCTCTCTTTAAATTGAACAAGCAAGGTGATTGCAGCTGGAATGGAACAAGTCCAGTTTACAGTGTTGATTGCTTCATGTTGACTATACATTAACACATGTATCTCTGAATGTCTACTCCAGGGGTCTCAAACTCAACTTACCTGGGGGCTGCTGGAAGTAGAGTATGGGTGAGGCTGGGCCGCATCAAGTATTCCACCACCGTGGTGGTGTGGGCCACTCATCCCGCGGCCAGCCCGGGAGCCGCTGGCACTTTGAAGGCCGCAGGGCCCCTTCCCCGTGCCCCACCCGGCCCAACAATTGGCCCGCAGGCCGCAAGTTTGAGACCCCGGTCTACTCTTGCTATACTCCATCCTTAAAACCATACTGACCCTGCCAAGGCTGTATATATGGGGAACTTTGAAAGATTCCACACTTTTCATTTTTGGTGAATTATCACACTACCATGAACATTAAAAGTGAATATCATATCAAATTCTTTGAGACAGTTTTTATTAAGATAGTGACACCAATGCTTAGGCTGCAATCCGACGCAGATGTACCTGAGACATAGTGCCAGTGAACTCAATAGGGATTCCTTTTGATTAGACATTTAATGACTAGTGACCTAATCCACCATGCTGGATAGCACAAATCTTGGCATGTCCTAGGAGGGAAACTGACCTCTTGTTTTTCTTCTTAAAAGGCTTAGCTGAGAAGCAAAACTTACACTACCCATTGAGATACTGGGTTCAACCCAGCCAAATTCTATGTGCAGAAAACTTTAGGAGGAACACTAGGGTAAGAAACCAAGAAGTTTGCATTGCCAGAAGGAACAAGAGCTCAGATCTACCACTGAAACTTTTGCATAGCCTGATCTGACTCATTGGAAGGCAGGGGCGATTGTCAAAGATCGTGCAGCCTGTACCCGCCTACTTCCCCCAGTGCTGTTTCAAAAATCAGACACTTAAAAAACCTCCTAGCTTTTATTCTTCTATTCAGAAAGAAAAAGTAGCAAGAACTGGTATACAGACATTTTACATATATAGCAACACATCATTTAAAAGTCAAAGCAATGAAGGCCTTCCTGACGTTAGCGATAAATGCAGAAAAATTGTTGGTTTCTCTCACTTTTAGCTGCAATTCTTCTATACAGTCCAGGGGAGGAGAACAAGAGATCACTAAAAGAAGCAATGAGACAAGTCAGTTCTACTTTGAAAATAAACATATCCTAACATGGCAACATATATTTATACTTATTTTCAGGCATCCCCATCATAAAAGACTGGTGCAAAGTGTTCTGCATTAGTCACGGAAAACATTATCTTTAGCTTCCTATTTCCTGTGAATATGGCCCTGCCCCTTAAGAAGAGCTGCCACTTGCTTCTTGCAGATTCCAGGACAGCAGCCCTGCAGTTCCAGATATTCTGCAATTGGCACTGGCCCTTTGGGTGCCTGCTAAGATGCTGAAGTGGTTAATTCCAAGACTGCTTGGTCATGTTGTGTTGAAAGACCAGACTAGAATTTAGTTAATAACTAAATTTAGTTCCTTTCTTTAGTTATTAAAGGGACTTTTAATTATTAAAGGAAGGTTGCACAAGCAGCAGAGCGGTTTCTTCAAGCAGAAATAAGACTGGGAAAACAGAATAGGGTGAAAACCCGAAAGAAGCACCCTAGAAGTCAGTTTAAAACAGGTGTTGGAGCTATGTCAACACTTTTTAGCCAAAATCTCTGGCTGGCCATAACGGGTCCCCAGCATTTGAGGTACTGTGTGCCTGTGATTCTGCACACACTACCTCACACTAGTTAGTGGGTGTTTACACGGCACTATAATCATCCAGGGTCTCTCCTGTGCTTTCCAAGCATTTCCCAGGCCTTTTCTAAGGAGAGGAAAATATAGTATTTTCTGGAAATGGCACGATGAACTGCAACAAGATGTTTGTACTTTTGTGATTCCATTCTACAGCAGCAGCACCTTGTGATTGTGTGATGCACTGGTTCAACCTTTTTAGAGTTGGGGACTGGCAAAAATAGGAAAATTATTTTGGGGACCACTGAGGCAGAAATAAAAAGCATTATATACATAATATAGTATTCTGTTTATCAGTTTTTAAATATAGTACCAAAAAATGAAAATTCTCTAAAATAACCAGAAACTGAACAGTAAAAAATGCTAAGAATAAAATATTGAAATTAAATGTAATCAAATACACCTGAACTTTTTAGAGAGCAATATGTAATTCAAATAAGGCTACTGCAAAGGCTGTTGTTGCTTCTGTTCAAGAATACTTGATCAAAAATTTACAACAGCAAAATACAAAATCAATATAAATGCAATACTATGCTAAAGCAAATACAAATTCAAATGCAATATTAACAGCAGAGCAATACAAAATCAAACAAAGTTACTTATTCATAATGTTAAATATGAAATACAATGAACCCCACCCCTTTGAACCCCCATACACACCAGCACAGACTGGCTGAGAAAGCTCAGCACAATCCTGCCTCAGCATTTCCCTTCCCAGCAAAAAACGCAGCAAAAAAAGGGAAAGGCCTGGCCGGCAGGGCCCAGCCCAGAGGGCAGACTGGCCCGGAGCAGTTCTGGGCTGGTTCCCATTGGGCTGCCTCTGCCCTCCCCAGCCTCCTTGGCAGAGGAAGAGGTGGGGAATTGCTGTTTCTCGCAAGCGAGGTGCATCTGTCATGCGCACACACAACATCTGCTCTTCACAGAATGGCAAGAAACGCCGGCAGACCAGCAGTTGGAAACCACTGGTGTAATGAAGCATAGAGAGAGGCAGAGAAAGAATCCCTCCTCCCCCGGATGTGTAACACACACAGAAGAGTGCTTCTTAATCCTGCAAAGAATCCAGATGCAAATACTTGGGTCAAGCAGCAGGTTAAAAGCCTCATGGTGAGAAGCCCAGCTCTTGAGAGGCATTTTAACTTTCTGAAATGAAGAAAAGCATGCAAAAGCTGGGAAACAACGAAAGGGCGGTTAAAGAAAAGGTGGTGTGAGCATCAGCAGAAGCCTGGAAGGCCAGATCCATCTCTGAGCCTGGTTTAAAACCAGAAGGCAGCACAGTAGACAATGGCTGGTGAGACAGCGTTGACTCTGAACCAGTGCCTGGGCAGGGTAATAGACTGGATGAGGGTTAACAAACTGAAGCTTAACCCAGACAAGGCAGAGGCATTATTGGTAGGGGGAGCCTCAGCTGGAGTGGGCCAGGATTCGCCCCATCCTGGACAGGCTTGCAGGCTCTCGAAAAGACAGCGTGTGGACTCTGGGAGTGCTCCTGCATCCAGGGTTGCCCCTGGAGTACAATCTGGCCACAGGACGCATCTGTGACCAGGAGCATCATTTATCAACTCTGGCGGATGTATCAGCTGTGTCCCTATCTGGACAGGCAGGACCTAGCCATAGTAATCTATGCACTAGCAACCTTACATTTGGACTGCTGCAATGCACTTTACATGGGACTGCCCTTGAAAACAGTCTAAAAATTTCAGTTGATACAGAGCAGGGCAGTCCATCTGCTACCTGGGATGCGCTGATATAAACGTATAAGCCCTCTTCTTTATCAGCAGCACTGACTACCAACTGAAGTCCAGTCCTGCTTCAAGGTGCTCACATCGAAAGTCCGAGATGGCTATGGGGCTGGATATCCAAAGGAACGCCTCCTCTCACACACACCTACCCAGACCCTCTGATCATCCAGAGCTCCTTCTGTGAGCCACTGCTAAAGGAAGGCAGCTATGAGAAGGGTCTTCTCAGTTGTGGCGCCCCATCTATGGAACCAGACACTATTCAGTATTCACGTTTGGCACCAGGTCAAAACCTTTTTATTTTCCCGTCATTCTGATTGTTGAACAGATGATTTGATTTTATATTGGTTTTTATTCAGATTATGATAGAATGGTTGCAGTGGATCAATATTCTGTGTTGTGCATTATCATTTCATTTTTTGTTAATTGTGGTTATTATCTTTGAAATTATTATTATGGGTATTGTTGTTATTACTGTGTTTTATGCAGTAAACTTTTCTGAGAGTGTTTGCTATAGAATGGTCTGTAAAAACTTTAAATAAATAAATAAATAAATAAATATACAGATGACCAGGAAGTTTTGAACAAAGGGTCCAGGGAAATGCAGATTGTTAATCCAGTTAAAAACAATAACATGAAACACTGTTTATGCATACCTTCATATGCTCCCTCTTCATTTATGGAAAGGGTAAGTATATATGGCTTGTCAAAATCCTTCTGATCAATACCGTGGAATATAAATTGCAAATGATTTGCTAGATGCAAGAAATGAGAATATATTCAGACACTGGAATATGTCAGATAGAATCTATTTGTATGCTCTTCAGTTCACCACAGAGTTGTAGCCTTATATATACTGTATTTGTCTCAAGTCAATGAAATCACATGATATGGCAATCTCGCTTCCCTCTGTTGAGATATAGCACCAGTTGTTACATAATTTCTTGAATTATACTTCAGAGACAGTGGATTGTCTGCAACTATCTCGCCCAGGGGTTTCTGGCTGATTTCCCTCTGAAACCCCCTAAGGCTGGAGGACTACAGAACCTCACGGGAGGTGATGCAGCAGGCACAAGCCCTTCCACACACAGAGGCCTCCATCGGATCACAGACCTCTCATGAACAGGAAGACTTGTGGAAAGGCTCCGACCAGCGATTTATGCAACATGAGCCAGCAATCCCTCACGCAAAGTTCAGCTATCAGTTTTTAAAAACATTGAATCCTGAATAATCTGTGCCATGTTCTGTCCCTAAAGTTTTACATATTGAATGCCTGGCTTGAAAAATCCTCTTTTCCTCCTTATCCCTGCAAAGCAAGATCAGCACTTGTAACTCTGATAGTAACGATCAGTTAGAGGGTGCACCATTTCCCACCCTTTCCATAAGAGAACTGGAGCTGTTAGACAACAACTGGAGGGCATTTTCTCCTGCAGGAGCCTTTTGTGGTGGGCATTAGGCAAACCTGTATGGCAGCTTCTTTCCACTCAAACTTACTCTTGTGTTAGGACAATATTCAGCAAAAGGCTGACTCCTTCTTACTGGGAGGAACAGTGAATGCATCAGTGCTGCTATAGAAAGCTGACATTAGTCACTCTCTGAAATACAAGACATATGCACAGCAGTCTTACCACTGGTTTTGCGTATTTCTAACCCAAGTCGCTCTTTAAATAGCATTTCGGCCTTACGGAGCCTTCCCTCCATTTCTTCTGTCACTTTGTTTTTAGCTGAGATCAAAACAAAACAAAACCAAAAACATCAAGATTTCTCCCAAACCTTTAAAGCTAAGGATTTTTTAAAGTGTTGGGCAAATTTAACAAACCATCATTAAAAAACCCTATCTGCCACCATAAAGCTTTTGTTTCCTTGATGCGGCTTGTTTATTTAACTCACACTGACCACCTTCTTGATGTGAACCTGATTGTCCTAATGCAACGTTTAGTTTTTCATTAAAAATGTCAAATGACCTTGCTAGCATGAAGAAAATACTACATTCAGAGCACCTGATTGGCTGTGTCCCCATTCTATCTGATTCTCCAATAGAGAGATCAGTAGTGCCACATGAAGGCCTTGTCATCTCCTCCTTCATTTGCTAGAGCAAAGGAGGCCTAGCACTTCCCTGGCAGTGCCAGCAGATGGCATCACTCCTGGTCCAAATGGCTCCTGAACTTGCCAGCACATCACTGACTGCACCTGTTCAAGGCCTCTGCCCTGCTTCATAGGGACTCAAGAGTCCCCGTGACCTACGTCCTTGTGTAATTTACACTGTAGTAAACCTACCGTTTTGTACCCCTAGGACATCATCAAAATATGCCTATAATTTTTTTTTTAAAATACCCCCAAATTTCAGCCTCCTGTCCTTTACCTTTCTATAAACCTTTCTTTCTAAAAACATGCCTGGCATAACAAAATGCTCCCAAATTTACACAGGAATGGTTTTGTGGGGTACCTTTATTGCTCACACAAAGGAATAAAGGTACCTCCTTTTGAAAGCCAACAGTTTGAGCTAAAACCTCCAAAACCCAGAACTAAATGCCATTAAGAGACTTTTTTTTACACAAGTTTAAAATTTGAATGCCAAATTATTATTATGCATTGCAAACATTAATAAGATAGTATTGTATTTGCAGCTGTTCGTGTTATGCATAGCCTCAAGAAAGTTTAGGTCTTAAATTTTATGTACTTACTAAAAGCTATTGTAATGCGGACTGAAACCTCCTGGGGGAAACATTCAACCAGAACAAATGCATTTCATAGGCAGCATTTCCCTTGCCTGAGCCATTCTTTTCTGGGGTAACAAAATGCCCCCAGATGCAATTAATGTAAGGTTTCACTTAATGCAGGATTAACTATTGATACTGCTAGATCAGTATAGAATAGGCAGGCTGCTAATTCACACTTAGTAAATTTAGTATTGATTTCACTACATGAGAATTTCCATATAAGAAACTGGAAAGTATTCTTAACTTGCACAGCACAACCCTACATTTTTGGAATGCATTAACTGTTAGTGCAACTTACTTTCCTTTTTTCTGATTAACTCTTCCTTGAGCTCTTGGATGCTAACCATCAAGTCTTTCTCTTGCTTTTCTCCATCATGAATTCTATCAAGAACTTCTGATAATTTCTCCTGTTTTTCTTCAATGGATTTGTTCTTTTGACAGAGTTCTGCATGGAACAGGGAAAATTGGAGGCTGAATCCAGTGGTATTAGTCCAGTGAAGCAGAATCAGATACAGAGGGGAATTGCCCCTTTCCCCTGCACACCCTCAAAATCTGTTCTGAAGAAACCTCTCCAGAACTAATTTCCAGATGATGCAGAGGGCACTAGGACAAAGGAGAGAAAGAAAATCTTGCTGTGCTAATGGATTTTCACTAATGCAACAACTCTGGATGTTTACCCTTAATGCAAAAGTTATCTACAAATCTGGCTCTCTTCATAAGTGGCACATTCAGAATGTGTCCCTCTCACATGGAGAGAAAGCAATGTAGTGTAATGGCTAGGGTGCTGGACTGGGACCTGGAAAACCCAGGTTCTAGTCCCCATTCAGCTGTGAAGCAACCCAAGTGACCTTGAGCCAGTGGTTAAGAGCATGGGACTGGGACTCAGAGGATCTGGGTTCTAGTCCCTGCTCAGCCATGGAGCCAATGGGGTGACTTTGGGCCAGTCACAGACTCTCAGCCCAACCTACCCCACAGGGTTGTTGTTGTGGGGCTAAGATGGAGGAAGAGAATGATGTTAGCTGCCTTGAGTCCTTTGTAGGAAAAAGGCAGGATATAAATTGAAAAATAAACAAATAAATCTAGACTCAACACTGGATTTATGCTATTTCAACTTAATAGTCATGTTTCTGTTGGCCTCTACCATATGTGAACTGCTTTGAATTATTTGAATTCGATATAAATGATACATATTAAATGGTATCACTAGCACTGAAGATTCATGATTGCAAAAATAAAATACTATGCTTACATTTGTAAAATGATAAAAAAGATAGCCACTAAGTTACTTAGCGACATATCTTCTGGATATCTTATTTACATATTTGGAATCAACATAATGTTGGTGTCATCTTTGGGAGGAAACAGAGCTATGGCCCGCACAGTAGGGAGCGCAAGAGTTACAGTCAGATACACATTTGTTCCATTGCAAGATATTTGTTTAAAGCCCAGTGAAAGTGTGTCCAAACCACATCACAGTCTAGACTGAATATGTGTTTCTACTTTAAAGTGCCTAAGAGCCATGCTGGGTCAACCAAAGTGCCATCTAGTCCAGTGTTCTGTTCACACTGTGACCAACCAACTGCTTATGGAAAGCGTACCAGCAGCATAGGCACGCAAAACCACCTTCCCACCATGTTCTCCAGCAGGAGGTGCACACAGGCATGCTGATACTGGATGAGGCAGGTAGCCTTCTGGAATAGATTACACCATAGATGTGTATAAGGGGAGTACAATCTCGGTGGTTTTATTTTCAGTTTCTTTTCTAATTTTGCCCAACATGGTATTTGCTATCTGTGCAGTGCCTGCAGCCTCAATGCAATGACTCTTACAGTAAGCCCTGCCCTGCCCATCCCATAGAATTATAGCTAGAGATGACTGCTTCCCACTTGTTTTGTATATTCCATTAGGTTCCCATAATCTAGGTATTTTAAAGTCAGGCACTCCAGAACACCCCCCCCCCTTTGGCCCAGAGATGTCTAGTTTTGTGCAGAAACACATATCCCTCCCCAGATGTCTCTGCAAGTGCATCTTCTACTATGGCATTTGGCCTCTTTGACTATCATCTTTCACCCTATGCTCATGCCCTATTTCCTCTCCTTCTACCTTTGGGATATCAGAAACATTTTTATCTTCTTCTTCTAGGAATAAGTCAACTCGAACGAGTTGCTTCTGGGCTTCTGTTGGCCTCCCAGATGCTCGGCCACCTTTTCATGTTTATTGCCATCGGTCTTGTTCCATTTCAGTTCAAGAAGAACCTGTCCCTCTTGTGCAGGCCCAGCTTGCCCCAAGATGTCCCCCAAATGCCTAACAGATCTGAAACCCTCTTCCCTGCACCACTGTCTCATCCATACCTTGAGACTCTTCAGACTTGCCTGTCTGGCTGTGAAACAAGCAACCTTCTACCTAACAACCTAAGTTTGGGTTCCAGGATCTCACATCTACATTTCCTCTTGGCACTGGTACCAACAGGGACCACAACCACTGACTCCACCTCACCCCAAAGCTATCCAGAATGTGTGAGATATCCACAACTTTCATACTAGGTAGGCAATTTACAATGTGGTCCATATTCCCATCACAAATCCAGCTTTCTGTTTTGGCTTATTTTAAAGTATAAAATATAAATCCAACATGGAAGTTTGCATACTTAAAAACCTGTCAATTTGCACAGGCTTAAGAATGCCAGTAGATAATGGCCACTACTGAAAATAGGACACAAGAGCAGGAAAAGAAATGCAGGAGGAGGAATGACAGTGGTGATTTAAATAATCTCTTTGGAAAAAGAACTGCACCTGGGATGGTTTGGCTACCAAACAGAATTAATTTAACTCATAATTAAATCCTCTTCAGAAATTCTACCCAATCAAACCTTTGGATGAAATATTTATGCATTGTAAAGATCAAATGAAAGCTGCAGGGCTGCCTGTGCAGCATTTATCTATGTACTTAGACTTGAAAAGAAACCTAAAGCAAAACTGATCCAAATATTCCACTTTTAGTAGACTAACACCCCAAATAAAAAGTATATTTGAAGAATCCTGCTTTTCTGTATGCTTTGACATCACAAATTAGCTCATGTAAAAGAGTTTTAGGAAAAACAAGAATAGACTCATACTATACCATTTGTGTACTCGTGAATTTTTTTGATTATTTCATCTCCTTCTTTCAGTCTCTTCGACCATTTTTCTGTAATTAAAAAGAAAGTGATCTGCTGCCAACAACCTGGAAATATTTATGCTAGTTTATAACCACATGCAAAGCTGTCAAAAGATATGAAGATTGTTCTCATGAGTTATTCAAACAAGGCAAACCTCACAGAATTTTCTTGACAGCAAGGATGGACAATGTGCAGTCTCTGACTCCCATAATATTTCAGGATTGGCTATGCCAGCTAGGGCTGATGGGAACTGTTGGCCAAAACATTTGGAGGGCCCCAAGTTGCCCCTCCCTGCTTTATACCCAGATGTAGTTCCCTGTGCCCAACTCTGCCCACAAAGAACATGGGACTGAGTTGGGATCCAAAGAGCCTGTCTCCCAACCACCTCTCAGTCATAGCAAGGGGAATGTGGCACACTCCTTTTTCTAGGCTGCATTTTGTATAGAAAACTGTGTTCATTGGTGCAGTTGCCCTGTCTCCCTCTCTCCCAAGGACTGCGAGTGACATTGGCTCAGAAGTCAGAGCTACACAAGTACTTATCCCAGTGAACCTGATATAGGTCACGCATTCCTTAGAGAAGGGAAAGAACCATTCTGGTTGAGAGTCTGCAGTGGAGGAAAGGGCTGGCCCTCCTTTCCATCCCATTCCACAAGACAGCCTGGAACAGACTGCAACAGCAGGAAAGAGTCTGCTGGGGGAAGCAAAGGCTGCAGCCCCCAGGCTGTGCATCCCTAATGCAGTGGGACGTCCCAGATGGCAGCACAATGGCAATAAAAATCTGCAGACAAGTTTACCTGAAAGATTGCTTATGGACTCATACCACAAATCTCTTAGTCCCAGAGTCTGCTCAACAGGCTCATTGCAACAAGTGGCTTGGAACTTAGTCCAAAATTCCTTGATCTCTTTTTCAAGTATTGCCAGTTCATCATCATCTTTGGTCTGGGCCATTTTTCTGAAAAAAGATTAGGGTAGGATCCCACAGAAGTTTTGTGAGCTACATGAAAGTCATACAATGTAACTTAACTGTTTATTAACAAATCACACGTATCCAAGCCATTTAGACTTTACACACCAAACCCTACAGATGTAAGAGCTTTCTGCAGCATTTCCAGTGGTTGAATTCTTTTCCCACTTTAAAACATCATAAAACACACCTTCAGTCCGTGTCTGTATGTATGTGTGTTTGCATGTATTTCAAGAGAATCAGTGAAGGAAGCAAACAATGCCAAATGACCTAAGACAGAAGCAGACAGATGGACAGCTATCCTGATTGTCTACTTCCTTTTCCACATCTTTCTACAGGCGGTAGCAGGATACTTTCAAAATAACTTAAATTTTTTTTCTTCCGCTAAGTCTCCATTTCGCATAGACTATTCAGACTTTTAAAAATAATATTAATAGTTCTGGAAGCACGATGTCAGGCGATTTAGCAGGAATATCGCAAGCTTTTATAAAAGCGTACAGCCCTCATGATGAAAAGAACAGTAAAGCAGAAACGTCATTTTAGGAGTCACCCCGAGATATAAAGACGTTCGAGAAGAGGTGGGTCCTGCCCTCCGAAGCGGGCGAGATGCCGACCTCTGGGAGCCTGCCGAGGGAACCGAGTGGCTCCAGGAGAGCGCCGGACTTTTGCTCCCACTCCTGCCGTGGCGCCTCCAGCAGAACCACCCGCCGCGCGCCCCGGCCACGCGTCCCCGAAACTCACCCGCTCCGTCCCCATTTCCAAACTTCCACCCCTTTCGCGCCCTCGATCAACGGCCTCTCCCCCTTATTGGTCCCGCGCGCGAGAACCAGAGAGTGAACGGAGCTGGCGATTGGTGGGAGGAGGAGGGGGAAGGACCAGCGCTGAGATGCTCTTTCGTTATTGCACGAGAGAGGCGCTGGGTGTGACGGGAGTTGTAGTTCGATCTTTTCTTCTTTTTAAACTCAAGCTAGCCGCCTTTGTGTTGTGAGCAGAATGCGGAGGGGGCGAGAAAAGGCGGAAGATATGATGGGCTTCCCTGGGTCTCATAGGAAGAGCCTGGTGGGTCACAGCAAAGGGACCTCCTGCCACCTCCTGCTTCCCACAGTGACCGGCCAAATGTATCCGCTGTCCTTTTACTATGTTTTTTACGCTTTAGGGTGCAATCCTGTCCATATTTAGACAGAAAAAATGCTACAACCCTCAGCATTCCGCAGCTAGCATAAGGAGTGCTGGGATTTGTATCCAGCACATCTGGAAGTCAAAAGTTTGATTTAATGGGAAAGTGTCCTGCACTTTTTATTGACAGAACTGCCTCTATTATTTTTTTAAAACCGGAACATCATAATTCCAGAGCTGAAACTTTCTGCATCTTCAACCTGCATGTCTGAAGAAAATTTCGCCTGGTAAATTGAGGCCCCATTAGGCAGTCAATAATAGTAACAATACATAAGCATTCACAACGGGAAACTTGCCACCGCTTCTCTAAGCTCCGAGGTAAGGAGGCGCCACGGAGTGGTGATAGAGCCTGTGTTTAGCAGCCAGAAGGGCTCAGGGTTCGAGATCCAGGATCTTCAGGTAAAAAGATGTTCGGGTAGAAGCTGATAAGGTTTTTCTCCGTATCATCCCTTAGAGAGCCACTGCCTCTCAGATTGGAGCCCGCTGCCTGGGAATGCTGGGAGTTGTAGTCCATGGGCAACTGGTGGGAGAGGGCTGCACTAAGGGATGTCTATAGGGACTGTACAGCTGCTAGTTCTGGGTAGACGGGACACAAATATGGTTCAGACCATCATGTGAAGCTTTCTATTGGCCACTACTGCAAAGCAACCTAGTAGTACAGCATCGTGCAACACATAAAAGTCATAGCGAAGGGGCTAAATGAGAGGACTCTTGGGTCTTTTAAAAGCAGTAGTAACAGATACACACTGGGCACCAAATAGAATGATGCAAATCAAACTTCGTTTTTTATAATTCTTAAGATTGAGGCAAAAGTTAGTTGTTTCAAGAAGTGGCGGTATGTTTGGGAGTGATAGGAGTGAGAGGATGATTTGAAGCAAGGGAGTAGAAAGATGTAAAAAGGTAACAAAGAAAATTACTTAACCCAAAGGAGAGGAGGGGCTAAGATCAGATAGCACAAGGTGTGAGAAAAGGCAGGATGGCCAAACACTGACGCAATGATTTCCTGATTGTTTATTGACAAGCTGGGCAGAACAAAATGAGCCTATTGTAGCCCACCGGGGGCAGGGCTGGATTGGGAAGAAGGGCCGGTGTTGGGGCAGCATGGAGTAGGTGGGCAGAAAGAGTAAACTCCTGGTACTCCAGCCAATTAAGGGAAAGGAGGAGGGAGAAGTGGCCGGGAGCAGGGTTCAAAAGGGGGGTGTGAACATATGCTCAGGTGAACAGGAAAATGGGAAGGAAACCATTTTTTTCTGTTCCCCTTGTTGCAATAAAGTTTTAAAAAGAACTCTCTGCATGCTTGGAATATTTTTCTCTTCCTACAGAAAGGAAAGAGCGTTTTTAACAGGTGTGAACCCCAAGAAGGCTCATAGATAACAAATGGGCTATGTTTCTGAGCTTACCTTATTACACATATGTAATGGATCCTGTTTTATAACTGTATAATAAGTTGCATGTTGTAGGCTTATATAATACAATCATTTTCATAATTTTCCATGAAATGTTGAGCACAAATATAAAAGTTAAAGGGAAACAGGGATCCACTTCAGGTTGTGCATACTACTGTGTTTTACCCCTATCTTGCCAACGTATTAGCAGGCTAACTGTTGCTTTTTTAGGGAGGAAAAAACTGGAAACATCAGCTACTCACAGAATATTAAAATGTTAATAACAAGCAGGCGAACATTATTTTAGCTTCTGTTTCGTTTTATTTAGTATAAGCATAAGTGCTTTTCTGGTTTCAGAAACATCTTCGTAGTCACTAAGGCTCAGGGCTGAACCCATGATGAGCCAAGACAAGTCACCTGGCTCAGGTCCTGCACCAATCCAGAGAAACAGTGGATCATGCAGTCCCCCACTCCTCTGCTAATGATGTCCACCACCTGCCACTGCTGAGCCTCGCTGCCATCTACAGAACTGTCTGCCCCACCTTTGGGCCGCCTGCCTGCCTCCATCCAGGAAAAATGGCTGTAGCCTGGGTATGTGTTTCGGCAGGAGGCTGTATCACTAGCTTTTGCTTAGCACTGCTACCATTTTGCCAGGGTGCTGGAAACTGCAGTTATCACAGCAAACCTCCGTCTTGCCTAATTGCCCCAAAGCCTCTCTCCGTGCAAGGTTGAACCTGTAGGCCAGTGGTGAGGAATGTGTGGTTCTCCTGATGGTGTTGGCCTTCAGTTCCCATCAGCCCTTGCCAGCATAGCTAAGGGTAAAGGATCATGTGAGTTGTAGTCCAACATTTAGAAAGCCATACATTCTCCACCCTTGCTGTAGATAAATCCACAGAAACTAGGATTTAATGTAGGTTGTACCAAAAAGGCATCACTGGAGCGAAAGCACAGTGCACTAAATGGGTGTATGGGGGGCAAGATATAATATCTTGGGTTGGCCCCACTGATGTTGCAATCCTTAACCCACTGGGCCATCATTCCCAATGGCAACATAGTGGTAATTACTTCTGAATGGGCATGCTGCACCAAGTTCTAGGCCAGAATGAGATAGTAAGTGAGTCCTTGTGAATAAATAGCAGGCGTACTAATATTAGGCCATGCCTTCTGAAACTGGTTCTTCATTGTGGTCATAGGCTGCATATTTATTTCATGACACTTGCCTTGAGTTTAGGAAGACACACACATCTCCCTTGTACTTTTTAATTGCTATTTGTTGCTTCTTAATGAGTGCTGGATATGGTAAGAAGAACAGAAGTCCTTCATATGCCTGTTGAAAAAATGGTTCTTTGCAACATGCCTTGCTCTTTAGTGCAGTTCTCCTAAGGGTTGCTTTGCATGCTTACTTGGACTTTTGGATCCTATGTATTCTATTTTTACCTGTTGTCTAGCAAACTGCCAACATGTCTTGTTCTAGTTCTGTCTGTGCGGGTGCTGATTAGAGACCATTGGATGCACAATAATGGCTTCCTTGCTGCTCTATTATTCTCCCATTGATGAAAATATATTCACAGTACACAAAAGGGAGCCAACATTATCTGAAGTAGTTTTGCGAGCGATTCTCAGTTCTTTTATTAGGAGCACTGATCTCCAATTTAAAAGACCATCTGTTTTATGTGACAGTGACAGACTGTTGTTCCTTGTCTCCTGGAAGAAAGATTTTTTTAAAAGTTTTGAAAGTTGCACATGAAGTGGTGTCCGTAAAATTCTGCCTAAGTGGGAAAACCCTGGTAAGTATGTCACACAGGCTTTGCAGATAAATCCTCCACTGTCTGGCAAAGAGACCTATACAAGGAGATGCAGTTGAAAATGGTTGCTTTTATTAACAAGACCAACAGTAGAAGCAGGCAGTGGCCCCAGATCAGGAGCGACTCCAGGCCCATTAGGTGCTAAGTTCCAGTGCCGTGTGCATGGTGAGGGTGCAACTGCTTCAAGAGTGCAGAGCCTTGGGCTTGGGAATGAAATCTGACCCTCTGGAGGTCACCAGAAGGACCCACACCCTTCCCCCTAGTCGCCAAATATTTGGTGGTTTCCCAGCTTTTGTATGGTACAAGTACAACCCAGGTTCAGACCTCTTGGCCACATGGTAAGGGAGGGCTTATATCCAACCTCTGTTTGCAAACCAGTGTAAGTTTGTTTATTTTCCTGTTGGTTTGTCTAAACGAAGGCTAGGCAAACTTTTTGGTAGTGCAATAAATTGTCTTGGTTACTACCAAGTATGGTAATGCAATAAATTGTCTTGGTTGCTACCACAAAAAGGCTTCCCTGAGATGTCTGGCAAAGGACAAGTAACCTGCCCAAAAGACTGAGTTCAAGACGGGTCTGTGTTGAGCCTCAGCACATGAAGCAACTCCTTTTCAGAAACCAAACGCTTCATTTCTGAATCATAGCTGTCAGCTGTCAGTAAATAAATTTGATGTTTTAAACAAGTGGGAGAAGCAGGTCATCTGACTGAGCACCTAGAAAGGTATCCAGGAGCACACTGGTGCCTAGGGAAACCTGTTAACTATCCTTGGTCTAAAGCATTTTAACTGTGCACTTCAGCCAAACTGGCTCTCAAAGCAGCTAAAATGAAGTCAGTGAAAACAAGGCAGCCTCTGTCTTACCATCTTAAATGTGATATGAAAAAGATAAAATGTTACAGATCATTTATAATGACCAATTTGGATGAAAACAGTTCAACAAGACGAGGAGTCAAATGAAGCTGGTCTCCCAGTGGTGCTGATGGAGTGAGCCCTATTTCCCCACTCCTCTGCTGCAGCAGATGGAATGGCTGCTAATACAGGGCAAAGAGACAAGAAAGGAATGAAATGAAGTTGGTGTCTCAGTGGAGTTGCCAGAGAGAGCCCTGGGTTTCAGCTCTCCTAGTTGCGGTGAAGTTAGTATGGCAACCTGTAGAGGGAGAGCTTTTCCCTTTTGAGCTTTCTGTTAATATTCTATCTGCATAAGGCTAGTAACAAGAAAGCTAAGGCTCCCATCCTTTACCCACTCACCTGGGAGTAAGCCTTACTGAACTCAGTAAGGCTTTCTTCTGGTTGGACATGCATAGCATTGCACAAAGGCATTTTGACTAATAAGGCTTATATTGATGCTTCCATAAATTACTTTGTAAAGCAAGCATAAAGCTTTCATTAGCTGGATTCTAAAACGTGTGCAACATTGCTTTCATTTTATTTCAGAGTGTAAGCATTGATTACTGGTAGCAATCTAGGATTCTCTGAACT